TTTTGGATGTTTTCCTTCCCACTAGATAAAAGGTTTTATTAGGGTTTAAAGTCAATAGATGGCATCATGTGCCAAAACATTAAGTAACTGTTCACAAGGGTTACTATTCCACCACCTACAACAAGAATATATGGTTAGTTGTTTACAAACCTCGCAACACTACGAGATTAAAATCTTAAATTATCAAATTATATATATATATATATTAGTTATCCAATGATATAATTATATTAAAAGAGTAAGGAAATAAATTTCTTATTCCTGAAAGATGTTGAACATTGGCTCAACATTCTTGCGGTAAGCCTCTTGTTTCATAGCAAATATTTTTTCTTTTCCTCGATAGGTTGTGTAATTGGTTGGACTATAGTGGTCCAATTTGAGATAGATACCATCTGCAAGATAGTATATCTCGCTGTGTTCTTTTCCGTTAATATGAAATAGAACCCTTGGAGCAAATCCCTCTAGTATATCATTAAATAACTGTGAAAAGTAATCCCTCTAGTACATCACTAAATAACAGTGAAGAGTAAAGTACATTGATATAGTTTTGCAAATCTAGCATTCCAAAGTTAGTATGTCATATCCAAGTATCGATGTAGATTTGATAAAGTTATGTATGAATCATAAGGTAACTTTTTTGAGTTTAAATCTTTTGCATTCATTTTATGTGCTGCCGCTCTGCGATCTATATCATAGATTAACACATGTTCATCAATTTAACCATCTTTAACTCTATTGTCATAAACTTAATACATATTAATCAATAATAAAGATCACACACAAAATAAATATAGAAGATTTGGGAAAAAGGATCCTCGCCGGATCCTTTTCCTGGGGATCCAGGGAATTTCGTGATCGTGGTCGTTCATTGTACATCGTGTGGTCAGTTTTCATTGGGTACTATTTATATTTAATTTTAAATTTTAAATTTCAAATAATTTCTAACCATACGATGTATGATGAATGATTACAATTATAAAATCCCCAGGAAAAGGATCCTCCGAAGATTTGAATCCAATTTTCCTTGCTTCAGTGATGGGAAGTTGACTACTATTTGGGTGATGAGTAATTACACGCATTGGTGATGTGATAATTAAAAGTGTGCAAAGACGAGTAAGAATTTGGATGTTTTCTTTCCCACAAGATAGATAGCAGATTTTCTTAGGGCTTAAATTCACTAGATAGCATCATGTGCCAGAATATTTAAGTAACTGCTTCGCTATTCCACCACCTACAACACTATAATATGGTTAAAACCATTCTATTATCATACTTGGTATACTAGACTATTTTTTCAACATATTAGGTATTGACTGTATAATATACTAATCTTATCAAATTGTGTGTGTGTATAAAATAGTTATAGAACAATATATTTACCAAGGGAGAGGAAATAAATTGGTTGTGAACTCTCTATTTTCGAGATTCAAACCTCAGACCTCTCAATTACTGTTAAGAGAAATATTATTAGATCATAGTACTAAGTCACATAAAATTGAATATATTTAAAATAATTAAATGCCATACATCTAAAATGAATTTGTAACAATGCACAAGAAAATCATTTGATCCATTTGTTTTCTTTCTTTTTTATTCAAATCTTTGCATGCATGAATAGTAATCATTTAAACCAAAGGAAAATTCAGATTAAATACCAATTTTAATAAACACTTTGAAAAATAATAATACTAAAGCTACCAATCTCTTTTCATTTTATTTGGATTAAGCTACAAATTATGGACAGATACACTTATAAGAACTGGGGTTTCAAAACCCTATTTACAAATGCCAACAAAGACCCAAGAAACAAATAAGCCTCAATTGAATCGTTTGAGGTGCTCTGGTCCAGCCCATACTCGTGCATCAGACCCTTCTTATGCTTCAAAGAGTGTCCTTTAGTCCAACCTTTCATTTAACCACATTAAGCTTGCCACTCTGAGCTCTCACAAACTTGAAGTGACGAAAATCATAAGCTATTTTTCTCAGATTTCATAGCAAGGAAGGAACATCATCAAAAGTCTTTATATTTTTAGTGACTGTCATCTGCCATGCACTCCAACCTTCTGGTATATTTGCCAACGACCTAATGGCCCCCAGGTTTTACTCTTCACTAAGTTTAATTTTTCTTCAATAATTCAGACTACTCAATAGTACGAGAAATGAAAGGTCAGAAATAAGTTGAGAAAATATTATTTTTACTTACTTGGCGATCTAATGGATCTAAAGCAGACTACTCCAGATTATCGAAGACTTACCCAACTTAAGTCTGTGACCAATCTTCTTCATATCTTTTATCCCTTGTTTCATGGTCTCAAGAGGTTGGATTAGAGTATGTGAGGGATTCATCGATATAAATTTGTATGCTTATTGGTATTGATTAATTGAATTGTTGGTTGGATTAGTTATTATGCTGCATACTATAGTATAGTCTACTCTAGTATTAAGAGTCTAAGCTTTTTTTTTCTTTCCATTTTACAGTTACATAATGGAATGATACTATAAGAAACAATGCTTAAATCCTCCTTCAAACATTTCGGGTAGTCCTCCTTCAAATATTCCAAGAAGTCCTCATTTGAATATTTCGAGTAGGTCACAACAAAATGAGACCACTGAATTGGATGAAATATTAGTTCACCCCTCCCCCGAGAAATCTTGGCTTCACCACTGCTTGGCATCCATCCGTTTGAGTTATGATTTGTGCCCGCGACATATGGGTCAACCAGAAATTTGCTGAGACCGCGTGAGGTTTCTTATTGTGACCACATTCCATTGTGGCCAGCCTTCTATATAGATGCGCTCTGGTAAATATCACCATATCCATGATCTTTCCCATCATCCCAACCTACCCAACCATCGCTATTGGATCCCGTTCCTTTAGAAGTCGCTTGCTTCCTTGTGTCTTTTTGGTTTCAAGAAATGAAGAAAATTAGAGTTTCATCGTAAAGCTAATCGACGTATTTAACTTCATATTCTCACACGCCTTTTCATGTATGACATTTTTTCAAGGTTAAATACGTGGACAATACGAGTTGGGTGATGTGTGGAACATGTGGCTTTTAAGTTTCACACATGAGCTAACCTGCTCTAATACCATAAAAAAGTGAAGTTAAAGTTCCACCATCAGAGTAACTCAACTTATTTATAAGTACATGCAAAGTTATTTATTAATATGAGATTCTTTTCCAACAAAAAGAATGAACAAACAATGAGAACAAACTCGAACTGATCTAATTCTTAGATTTCAACCATATTGGAATTACAATACCATCTATGCCACAAATGAGCCTGAGAATATAAATTTCAAATCCAGCGTGTCAAATCATACACCAGACCATGGAAATATTAAATCTCTCACATTTGTCAATTCATTTTAGATTTGATTGAATGCCCTAACTCCAACAAATACAACGATTTGCTTGATTACCACTTATAATATTCATAACCAAAATGATTATGCAATAGAAGTAGGGGTGGAATTTTTTCCCAAAAATCCCGAACCCGTCCTGAAATTTGACCGAAAAATGCTCGAACCAAATTTCCAGAAAAATTCAGTACCCGAAATCGAACCTGTCCTGAAAGTTTCGGTTTGGGATTCGGGCATAGCTTTGAAAGCGTTCGGTAATCCTGAACCGAACCGAATATTATATATATATATATATTTTAAATTTTTAATTAGAAATTACATGAACCGTTGGATTTGTTAAGATCTAATCCAACCGTCTATTGAGTTAGGTCATTTGTTAGGTCTCTCAGACTCTCTCTCAGTCGCTCTTGCTCACTCTCTCAGTCTCTCTCAGTCTCACTCGCACTCAGACACTCTCACAGTCTCACTCACAATCCCGCCACTCGTGCTCCTGTCGCTCCGCTCCTCCGTCGAATCCACGCCTCTCCTCGTCCTCCATCGACTCACGCCACTCCTCCATCGATTCATGCATACGCAAAAAGGAAGACTTGAATCTGATACCAATCGAGCCCCGAAATCCAGGTAAGGGTTTTTGATTTTCATTGGGGTTTTGTTCTTTAGTGTTTAAGGTCAAATTTCATGTTGATTAACTTGATTTCTGAGTATTTTGTTGAATGTGTGAGGGTTTGAGGATTGTGGGTTTCGAATTAAGGTGGGTAAGTGCAGGACCTGCATGCAGGATATGGTTCTATGTGTTTTGTCATAGTATCTTCTCTCCAAATGTTTTGCAATGGAAAATGTATAAGATATGGTTCTATGTTAATTGCAAGAGCATTCTCACCAATATTCAAATGACTTGAGGAAGATCTGAAACATAAATTTTGTAGAAGGAAGAAGACCACAGTAGAGCTTTCTCGAAGTAACTCGAAAATCTCGAAACACTTTCAGGAATCCCGAATTTCGGGATATAAAATTTCATCCCGAAATGTTTTGATTTAGGATTCGAGTTAAGGGTTTTGGTTCGGGATCCCGACCCGAACCAGCCCTAAATAGAAGTCCGTTTGTCAAAAAGTAGAGAACCAGCAACGCGGTGACATTCACCCCATTTTTTACATTTTACAATTCTTTTTATTTTCGTGTGTCAGATTAAATGAACTAATAAATTTAAAAAATGTAAAATAAAAAGAAATGTGTGAATAAAATTATCTAAAACTTAGAGGGACTTGGATTGTCTGCCCTCCCATTTCGGTGCCCTTCTCGTGCCCTCCTGTTTGTGTGGTCACGGTTAAGCCACGTCAACATTTTATATTACTATTTCTTTTTGTTATATTATTTTTATAAAAAAATAATATAAAATGTTGACGTGACTTAACCGTGATCACACAAAACAGAAGGGTACGTGGAGGGCATCGAAATAGGAGGACAGACAATCCAAGTCCAACTTAGAGACACATTTTTGGCAGAAACAGAACACGTGTTGCAACATCAACAAAGACCTTCCTCCATCAGCCACCTAGCTAACAGGTGTCAAGGGGTTCCAAGCTTTGTCTAATTTAGGACTGGAGCATGAATTTTTTATAGAAAAAATAGCAGCGGAGATTGATGGGACTTGTACGCCAGAAAGGTGGCCCCACGCTTCGCCGGAAAGATAAAGGTGTGGTCATGGAATTGCTCGATCGACGATCTCTCCTCCTCAAAGACCCTCCTGTATAAGACTGCACAGCCACCCTTAGCCAGCTAGCTCTCTCTATACCTAATAACCAAAACATAAATATAAAATAATACAAAATAAATATAAAATAAATCCCTACCCCCATAAACTTGGTGCTGTTTTAGCTGTGCTGATATCATATATACTAAATTCTTGAAGTAGATCTGTCCACGAGTAAAATTAAACAGTGTCCTGGAGTATTGGGTTTCTAGCATTTTCGAGTTCTTACCCTTCATTCGTCAGCTTCCTACTCAATATTTACATTCAGTCAGGTACTTTTCTTTTAATGGGTTTTAGGGTTTCAGCTTAGTTAGTTTTCTTATGCGCAGTCTGCATGTTTTGTTGGCTACAGCAGTGTGGTTTCTCTTATGCACTTAAGTTCGAACTTCTTTTTCGGTAGTTTAGGTGAGTTTAACTGGATATGTTTTTTAAATTTCTTTAACTGGATATGTTTTTTAAATTTCTTCTTCTTTGATCTGTTTTTGTATGCGTTTGTTGATTTTTATGTGTTTGTTCTGGGATCTGAGACTTCTTGAAGATGAATATACTGTCTTATTAGTTGGTTAAGTAGGGTTTAGTTAGTTAATTAATTTTCACGCAAACTGCTTTTTAGTTTATTGTTATTAAGTGGCTTAATTTTTCTGGCTTTTTTATATTCTGTGTGGTCACTTTTTTGGTGTTTAATAATTGGAAGAGAGAATTGACCACTCTAAAATGAAGCGCAATAGCATTAAAAGAAGAAAATTTCTCTTTTACTTTTGCCGTCTACCCCGCCTACATTCTATTCATGTTTCCTATTTTGGAAATGTATAATTTAATGGGAACTTTAACGAAAAGCACCCAGTACTGTTCACTTTAACGAAAAACCACATTTTTTACACTAAAAAGTCAATCATGTTACTATTCACTTTACCCTTTATTTTGTCCTTATCATTAAAACTCAAAGTTTTCAAGCCCTTTTCATTAGTTTCCTTAATTTAATTGCATTAGACATATCTTGTCATTATTTGTTTAATATGTACCACCATGTAAATACCTCCAATTGCTCACTAATCCCATTCTTAAATTGAGCAAAACACCAATTAATCCTTGGTTGAATTCGGTTGGTGTTGCCAAGCATAGTCCTTAAATTTTGATCATAGAGAGGCCACAGAGATTCGTTATTTTTCAAATTACAAGCTATATTGGTTAGATAGATTTGAATATGGAAGCTCTCTGAGTGCTGTGTGGGGTAAATGTTCTTAATCGTGGATAGAACCTCTCAAGTGTCGTGTAAGGTAAATGTTCTTAATCATGTGAGTGTGAAAGGTTCGGTGCGGATTAAATGTTCTTAATCACGTAAGCTGAAAACAACGTGAGCAGAAAGTGCGTTGCACATAGTTTTGTTGTTATCGCATGAATGAAATGTGTCATGTAGTTTCTGTACGAACCAATTAAATTTATTCTGAGTACTGTGCTTTGTTGATATGAATTTAAATCAATGTTTTCTTCTGTGTTTCTCTTAGCAAAAAAGGGACATTTGAACTGGATTTATTTATTGAAAGAACCAATTAATTTCACACAGTCGTCTATACTTCACTAGACTCTGCAACACCAACAACTACTGCATAAACTTAACCTCATGTGCTTCAGTTTGATCAGGTTCGTTACAATTTAGAAACCCAACATTTAATCAAGTGTAGATCGCACAAACATGGGTGTTTTGGAGTCGGAAATCAACTCTCATGGCGAGGTGGATTCGCCCTTGTTATCGGACCAACAAGCGAAGAACCACTTATTCTCCTCATTAGGAAGACAATCATCAATCTACTCGCTCACTCTTGATGAGTTTCAGCACACACTCTGCGAGAGCGGCAAGAATTTCGGGTTGATGAATATGGATGAGTTCCTAACCAGCATTTGGACCGCCGAAGAAAACCAAGCCATTAATTCCAATCTCACCAACACTACTACTACTAACAACAACAACAACATGAACAACATTGAGGTGCACATACCTTTAGCCGAGGCCTCAGCAGAAAAGAGCATTGCGACGCAGCCCAGCTTGCCGCGTCAAGGCTCGCTTACGCTGCCTGAGCCACTGTGTAGGAAAACAGTGGATGAAGTTTGGTCTGAGATAAACGGAGGGCAGCAGGCAAAGCAGCAGAACAATCACAACAGTAGCATCGATGGTAGTGTTCAGAGTTCTGAGTTTGCCCCTCGCCAGCCTACTTTTGGGGAGATGACATTGGAGGATTTTTTGGTTAAAGCAGGGGTAGTTCGGGAACAGGATTCAATGGCAGCCACGGTGGTCCCTCCTCAGCCTCACCAGCAGCAGCGGTATGGGATGTACCAGAACGGCAACCATGCTGTGGGACCCAGTTTTGTTAATAGGCCTGTGATGGGAATGGGGGCTGCTGCCGCAGCAGGTGCTAGTACTAGCACTGCCGCCGGTATTCCTAATTACCAAACTATACCGCAAAGTGGGGCTGCGGTTGTGGGAGAGTCCTCTGCGTATGCTGCGAATGGTAAGAGGAATGGGGCGTACCCGGGCGTGCGGCCTCCACAGTCGGTTTGTTTTGGCGGGAGAGTGGAGAATGGTGGTGGTGGATATGCAGCAGGGCAGACAATTGGGATGGCGGCTCCGGGGAGTCCGGTGTCTTCAGATGGGATGGGTACTAGTCAGGTTGAAAACTCTGCGGGTAGATTTGGTTTGGACATGGGTTTAGATGGACTAAGAGGAAGGAAACGGGGTTTAGATGGACCGGTCGAAAAAGTGGTGGAGAGGAGGCAGAGAAGGATGATTAAGAACAGAGAGTCTGCAGCAAGGTCTAGAGCTCGAAAACAGGTACATTATTTCATCCTTTTCAGACAATTCAGTTCTTACTATTGAATTGTTTGTTCTAAATAATTACTGGTTATGATAATTCAGCTGCCTCGAACGATCGAATTTGAAATATCTTTTTGTGAAGTTATTTTAGCAAGATATACATTATTATTTACTATACTTGTTGATCATCAATAGTTTAGTCATATGGTAGCAAAATGTTCCCTTTTTTTGGTTGCACGATGAATAAATCACCCCCGTTGTTATAGATGGATTGATCAGCAGCTTCAATTTGTTTATTAAACTTTTTCAACGTTGTCGGTTTATACTGCGAGGCTGCCAGGAAATGATCTTCACCAAGCTCTTAATAGAGTAGTCCAGGTAGCTAGTATGAATGTGACTTGCGGAACTGAATGATGAATATCTAATTCAAGATTAAACAGTTCAGTAGCTGCTAGGCCTAGGCAAGCAGTTGAACTGGTCCTTTTGGAATCTTGAATCATGTAAAATTAGGTGGACACCTTTAGTGAAAGTAATTTTAGATTTTTGTGGAATCTCTCATCACATTTTCTTGAAGGATCATACCAGTAGTTTTTATTTGAGCGATATATGCTACTTTTACAGGCATACACAGTTGAATTGGAAGCAGAACTGAACCACTTACGAGAAGAGAACTCACACCTTAAACAGGCGCTGGTAATGACACGAAAAACATTTCAATGCGTTGAAAGCTTTCTGACTCCTTTTGTTTCTTGTGGTGATATTGCTTGTAATTATTGCACTTGCTGATCGAGTTAACATGAACAGGCAGAGCTCGAGAGGAAGCGAAAGCAACAGGTAATTCTTGATTTAACAATGTATGAGTAACAAAAATGAATGCTTTTCAGTGTTACGAGTGATCTTGATTCATCGTCTGTCCAACAAGACAACATGTGAGACTGTCGGAAACCATTTTTCGTATTTGTTGTGTCTGCAACTGCAAGTAAATTCCTGTGTTCTGCCATAAAATTATAATTGATCACGTTACGTATCCTTAACTGAAATATTTTTTTTCAGTATTTCGAGGAAATGAAGATGAGAGTTCAGAACAGGGCCCAGAAAGTGAAGGAGAAGCTAAGGGTGTTGAGGAGGAGTAATAGTTGTGTTTATAATGTGCAATCTGAGATATGGTAAATGAACGCATATCTCATGTTTTTAGTTCGTCTTTGTACCTTTCTTTCATTTTCCCGAATATGTTACTTTTGAGTAGCTTCCTATACTTAAAAAAGAACTTCCATGTTCGTCATTGAGGACTCGACAGAACTGAAGCCCTCGCCGAGGGAAGTCGAAACTGTGCAAGCTCAGCTCAATGCTGAAACGGCTACAAGGTGAAGCAAGAGTGCTACACTGCAAGATAAGATGATGCCACTATGAGAATAAATGTGAATGATTCCTGTAGTAGGCATGATTATATACGTTTGTTGTAGTTTTTGTATATTTCAACTTACCAGCTTTTGCATTGTGAGCTTTCTAGAATAAGTGCGTTTATTAGCATAAACGAAAATTCTTCAGCAATGTCATTATGCGTGCCATCGATGGAAATTTACATGTATCAACGGCTAGTAGTTATTGACTTGGTTACAAAAGTACATCTCAAGGCTTCTTGTATGAGTTAATCGCTTGACAACGCTGACTCGGCTGTCCATACAAAATTCTTCTTCTCAAAACTCAGTCCTATGAGTTAATTGGTTGATTCATTGGGAAGTATTTTTAAATGGTCTTAGGAACTAATCAAATGCATCAACGAATAGCAGTCATTGTTTTTGAAGCTAAAATATGCGAGAAAAGGATTCTCACTAAACCCTTTTCACAGTTAAACAGTTGGTTTAAAATTTTGGCGTGAACCAACAAATTATTTTGTATATGGTTGGCAATGGACCAATAATAGTAAAACTAAGTATCTAATTTATGTGTTTAATGAACCTGAACTTTATGATGGACCTCTTCTATAGGCAAGGTGGTTTAGCGAACCTATCCATGTGGTTTATAGTGTCAATGAACATGTGTAGCCTTTGCATCTACAGCTTATTCTAAGGATTTTTCAAGGTTCTCTAGCTATCAATTTTCATGATATTGTTGCTATAGTTGCTTTTCTGGGGAACATGTGTGGCATTTGCGTCTGCAGCTTATTCTATAGATTTTTCAGGATTCCCTAGCTATCAGTTTTCATGATTTTGTTGCTATAGTTGCTTTTCTAGGGTTTGGTTTTCTCCTTCATTAATGTAATAAACGTAAGAGGATGATCCCCTTTATCAAAAAAAAAAAAGTGTGGAAGAGTGGTAGGGCGTTCATGTAAGTTTATAATGTGAATGAACCTTTGCACGTGGGTTATAATTTCTAATATTATTGAAGGACCTCTAGGGTTGGTTCAGTGTATTTGATTAATTGGCTGTAAAATTTTGTGCAATTTGCCAACAACTAGCTCAAGGGCAACACTTGCAGCATCCCCAGAAAAAACCTCTACACGTGCCTACCCAACACTGATGATTTTGAATTGCGTTTGGTCGGCTAAAAAGTGATTCAGAATAGATTTGATCAGGACTTAATTTATGAATTTTGTTGAATTTTTCTTTTCTTTCGGCTAATTATGTTCTGTAGGTAAGTTGGGCTACTCCTCATATTGTCAATTAGTTTTATAGTAGGACCTCAACTTTCTTCACTCCGTTGTCAACTAAATGAAAAATGGAACAATACTTCAACTCGTTGATATGTTAGCAAATCGTTCTAAAGTCAATGTTTAGCTAGATGGAAGCTACCGAGAAGTACGCACTTGGGTGATGTTCTTCAATTGCCAAGAGATTTCTCAGAAAACACTCAATATGGATATTGACTTTGAACATATTCCATATATCACCTTATTAATTAGTTAAACTTTTCTTCCTGAAGCCAAAACCCTGATCCCTTATTACATAAACGTCCCATATGCACAGGTAAATCCAACTTTTCAGACACCATTATTAAACTTTTCTCAGTCATGTTTGGGAGGCATGGTAGCTACTGCTGCTGCATATGCCTGTGCTGCATCACCTACTTCTTTATCTTCCTAGCCTTCATCATATTCTGGTTGATCTTCCTTCCCCAAGAACCCAAGTTAGTCATCACCGATGCCTCTCTCACACAATTCAATTTCACCAGCACCAACAACACTCTCAACTACAACCTTACCCTCAACATCAGAAACCCTAACAAAAAGGTAGGTATAGACTATCGACGCATCCTAGTCATTGCCAACTACAGGAAAAAGAGGTTTGCTTTGGTGATCTTCCTTCCCCAAGAACCCAAGTTAGTCATCACCGATGCCTCTCTCACACAATTCAATTTCACCAGCACCAACAACACTCTCAACTACAACCTTACCCTCAACATCAGAAACCCTAACAAAAAGGTAGGTATAGACTATCGACGCATCCTAGTCATTGCCAACTACAGGAAAAAGAGGTTTGCTTTGGTGAGATTGAATTCGACACAATTTTCCAAGGCCACAAGAATACGACAATTGTGCATGCAGATCTTCAAGGGCAGCAATTGATGAGGTTTGGGGAAAGTGATCTTTCCAAGTTTAACTCGGAGACTGCTACCAGGGTGTACAGCATTGAAGTGAAGATTGCTCTTCGGATAGGAATCAGGTTCGGAAAGATGAAGACGGGTTATTTCAAGATTCCACGGAAGAGTGACTGCAAGTTCAAGGTTCCTTTGAGTACTTCAATTAATGGAACAGTTTCGAATGATTTCAAGACTGATTGTATGAGTTTTTATATCTTTGGAGACCCTAATGCATTCGAGTATGAATAAGTTAGTATGAATATGTTTTCTACTTCTTTGTCAATTATACATGTTGATGTCCGAAATAATATTAAAATTATGAATACAATCACACTAGAGACGCGGGTTTACGTGTTCAACTCAATCACACCAACAGTAGTAAACCATAGAACATAATTATCCAGGCTTTTGTTGAAAATACATGTTCGCGAGCTAGCTATTACATGAATTTGATGTCGAATGAAATTTAAAGAACAATTAGAATTAGTAATTCATGAGAAGTTTAAGGCTTGAGATTTTATGTAATTATATAGACCGCAATCAAAACTAAGATAAGGTGCCAACCTCAGATCTTACTATTTCGAATTCTCATTGACTAAAACAGGAAGACTTATCACAAAATTACACATATTATAGATGTCTTTACTAACTATGCAGAGTTACACCTTTATACACCATTACAATTTCCGAACGATCGACCAGCACCTGTAACCCTACACCCTCTCTTCTTACACCTGGAAGGCCTTAACAATAATCTCGCACCCTTGTTTCGCATTATTCGAAAAATCTCCTTCTCCCCCCTCTCTCTATATCTCTACCAACCATGCTAAAAAAATGTTGCTGCTGTTTCTGCATCATTGTTGTAGCACTCGGTGCCCTCAGCTTAACGGCTTGTTTCGCGGTTCGTCAATTCAGCCCTTCTAAACCGATAATTTACCAGGTCACCGATGCTTCTCTGACGCAATTCAACCTGACGGCAACCAACAACACCATCCTATACAATCTGTCCCTCAACATGACTGTTCAAAACCGTAACAAATGGAATGACTTCCACTATGAACATTTTGAAGCCGTTCCTAGTTATAAGAACCAGGATTTGAGTAAAAGTATTTTGGAACCATTCGGGGTAGCGCACAGGGATACGTACGATTTGTATCCATTGTTCAAAGGACTACGTCCGGTGACGGCTCTTACGAATGAGGAGGCTTCAAATTTTAGGAATAGTACAGTTTTTGATATCACGTTGAAGATCTATTTTAAGTATTGGACCAAAATTGCTGTGTACAAGGATGAGAAGGAGCTCCAGATGGCTTGCTATTTGAAGGTTCCATTGAGTTCTACCGGAAAACTAGCTGAAAATTTTCAGAGCACCAAATGTGATAAGGCCAACCACTAAATTTGTTTCACGTTTAGTTTACATTAGATTATCTTTTTTGTATCGATCGCTTGTCATTTCAAGACAAGGTATGTAGGAATTTTTTGTTTCCCAAATTAGGAAAAAAAATTTCTTTATTATATTGGTATGACTACTTTTTTCCTTACTTCTTATTATTTTAAAATTAATAGCAACCACGACACATGCAAAAAGTTGAGGTTCAACCATAAAATCAATTAACAATTATTTGGAGTAGCTCAACTTATTTATAAGCTCATGCAAAGTCTCTCCTATCAATGCCGTGTTGCAGTTGTGCTCTAAAAGCCAATTTTGTAATATTGGATATTATGTAACAACTCCATATTAATCAATTAATTAATAAAAAAGCAAGTATTATTCATTCACGATTATTGGTTTTATATTATAGAGATATTATATGAGGTCGTAAGATTTAAGATATGAAAGCAATGTTCTACAAAAAAAAATTATAAAAAAAATTATAAAAAATTCCTTAAACAAAGTTCCTAGTTGTTTAGAATGTCAAATGAACATTGACTATCCGGTAAGATTAGTGTACATCGCATTAAAGTTATCATGGTCTCATGCTACGTGTGTTTGACATGTGGTGGATATACAGTGCTTGTCTGTTGAACAAGTTTACTGAACACCTACTGCCTGAGAAGCTTAAACGTATGGATGTTTATCACATGTCAAACGTTACAAAGCTTTGGATTGTAGTATGCAAGCAATTCTTAGACCTAAGGCATCATTGGATATCGTGTGCTTATAGATATAAACTTTAACTTTATATCAAAGCCCTCACTCCTTTGCATGGCTGACAATGTGTTGCTTGGGTTCATGTAGATGAGTACAGAGATATATGAATGCGTAATAAAGAATCTATCACATTGTAGTAATTGTTCGATAAAATGAGATATCCCTTGAAACCAATTGAAGATTTATCTCAGAAATAAAATACAAAGAATACAATACTCTAACTAACTTGACTAAATCTAAGTCTTCATATAACATTTTAAAATTAGTAATTGTTACATTCCTGGCTTCAAATTTTTCATTTTTTATTTATTATTTTTGCAAAAATTTTAAACCGCATTAATCAAAACTCAGTTGTGTGCGGCTGGCCTCAAAAGTTGGTGTTCTTAAATTTACGAACACTAGATTAACGCGGAGTTTTCGAAAATACAGACAAATATAATACATGTATTTACTAATTTTGCACATTATCCTTGCCTAATCAATAGCCATTATAAAGACACCACACCCGGCATTTGTACCCTCTTTTCCTCTGTGGCCTACGTGTGAATTCAACGAGAACTCAGAATCTCGCACTCTAGTTTCCAGCCCTCTTGAAGAACAAAATCTTTTGAGGGGGTTGGTTCTGGTGATGCAGATATAGAAAGAATCTTCTACTCTTTCTGTAATTAAGCAATACAAATAATATTCCTTCATCAACCATGGCTTGCAATTGGAAAAAATGTTGCTGCTTTTGTTGCATCCTCATGATAGTTTTCATCATTGCCCTCAGCGTCGCTGTTATCGTTGTTCGCGAATACAGCCCTAAACGTGGGATCAAGTACGAGGTGACTGATGCGTCTCTGACCCAATTCAACCTGACGAGCGATAAAATCCTCAAATTCAACTTAGCGGTCACGATAAATGTCGAAAACCCTAACAAAAGGTCGGACTTCCACTACGAGAAATTCGAAGCCGTTGCTTCTTACAAGCACGACAGTTTAATGAGCGTTAGCATCGACCCCTTCGAGGTAGAGCACAAGGATAAGCATCCGGTGAGTGCATTGTTCAAGGGGGAGCAAAAGATGTCTCTTCCGAATGATGAGGTTTCAAAGATGAAGACTAGTACGGTTTATGATATCGTTTTGAAGTTGAAGGTCAAGCATTGGGCAAAGTATGCTACAATCAAGATTCAAGAGAATATGAAGATGGCATGCAACTTGAAGGTCCCTTTGAATTCTAACGGAAAATCTGCTGTAAAATTTGAGGTTGCCAAGTGTGAGAAGGCTTAGATTTTTGTCTTCTAATGTACGTGCATGCATGGTTTGGAGGATTGTGTTTTAGTTTCTCAAATTAATAAGAAAAGGGTTTTTATTTCCCTTACACTTCATTCTAGCTAGGAACAACTCTTTTGTGGATTCCATACATCACGTCGATCGCCATGCAGTGTGGTGTAACACACACAATGATATGCTGATAGCTCTCTTAATTAGTAGCATTTTGTTTCACACAGCTATATATGTCTTTTGCCAATATGCATATGTTTAAAAAGGCAATTTTCGGTGTGTTATAACTTAGTTGATTAAGAATATTTATTCTTAAACTAGAGGTTCATGTTTGATTTTTCCTTCCTCGCTTTCAATCGTATAAAAAAGAAAATGAAAGTTTCTTAATATTTTTAAAGAACTTGTTACGTATTTTTATTTGTCTGTACTATATTATTTAAGAGAAAAGCTTTAACGACTTCAAAAACTACCCTTTCACCGTTTTGCGTGATTGTTTGATGAATAACTAAAATACATTCTCACAACCATATATATATATCGAAAACTACTTGATTCAGCAGTGACACAATTTTGTTGAAATTCCAATAACTCTAAGAATCAGTCCATATATATTAGCATGCGTACATTCATACATGCATGTAAATTGTAATAGATGTAGGCTTGTAGCCTCCTTCAATACATGTATATATATATATATATATATATATATATATATATCTGTATACAACAATCAGTGGTACAATATTTCAATTTGTTGAAATCTTTAATTCTTTTTGTTATGTGGGGATCGTAGAAATGGTGGAACATCTCAGAAGTCAGCGACTTGGAAGCTACATGAACTAAGTCCTTCAATAATCCTGCAAACGCACGTATATAGATCACTCACAAAACACGCTTCCACGTTGACTTGAGCTTTTATATTAAAAAAACATTGAATGTTTGGAGCTTTGGGAAGCCCTATTTTCTGTACGATGTCTGTTTATTTATTTTTAGAATAAATATCAGTTATTACTCTCAAGTTTTGTGGTTTTCAACGTTTGGTACATAAAGTTTTTTTCGTCTAGAGTCATACTTAAAGTGTTAATTTTGAGACAGTCTCATACATCCATTATTTTGGCTGTTAAGTCTCTCATTAACTTGTGGTTTTCAACGTTTGGTACATAAAGTTTTTTTCGTCTAGAGTCATACTTAAAGTGTTAATTTTGAGACAGTCTCATACATCCATTATTTTGGCTGTTAAGTCTCTCATTAACTAATGACGTGATGTCATATAGACAATGATCAGACCCCACGTGTTATTCCGTCTTCTACCTCCCCCGACCTTCCCTTCCTCCCTTATCCCTCCATTCTCTCCTCTGCACCAAACCCTCCTCTCCTCTCCTCTCCTCTCCTCTTCGACTCGTCATACATCCACCCTTCCCCCTCCATCTTCGACTCCACCCACCCACCCTAATCACGAAAATCTTTCAATTTTCAAAAAAATGAGCAACCGTTTCTTCAAATGCGAGCATGTAGAGGCTTCACCACCGCCGCAATAGATCCAGCCGTTGGCATATCTGTTTTCTCAGGTTTTTCCGTCCCGTTTGGGTACTTAAATTTCCTGCAAATGTCTCAGCCTTTCCCTGCAAATACCTCAAAACCGACGGAGACCACGAAGAGTTCTTACACAAACTCTGAATCTCCTTCAAGAACATCCAATAATTTGATTACAAAAGTAAAACCCAATTGCCGGAATCCAAAATTAAAATTACCAAAAGCTAAATCTTCTAGGCCGCACAACTGCCTCCTGCAAATCCTACTTCAAACTAAAAAATTCAAGCAAAACCCAATTACCCAACTGCCACCTGCAAATCAAACTAAAAATTTCAAACAAAATTCAATTACCCAACAACTTCTGCAAATCATAAACTCAAAATTGGGCATGTGGGAGGAAAAAAGAACTCGTGAGCTTGTTCACTTTGTGAACCTTCTCGTTGCAAGCCTAGCACAACGTTGTCCCGTCGGCACAGCAGAGGACAACGCCACCTCTCTGAGCACCCCCATTTAGTCTGTAGTTCTGCTGCGACGGTCTTGTGCTTTGCTGTGCCGTCACCAAGCTAGCCCTCAAATGCATCCGCAGATCGGTCAGCGTCGAAGACGAGGAAATGTGGGTTCGGTGATTGGACGCTCGCAGCGATTTGATGAGAGGGAAGGCTAATTGGATGCTCACGGTGGTGATTTGATGAGGAAAGGTGGGTTCGGCTAATCTGGAAGAAGAGGTGGCCGGAGGGTGAGGTAGGAGAGGAAGGTTGAGTGGGATGCGGAGGGGATTGGGGACGGATGGGCGGATCAAACTTCCTCTGGAGGAAGACGAGTAACAAAAGGGATTTTTCTTTTTTCTTTTTTTTTGTGATAAAAAAATGTTTTTTTTTTTTAATTTTTAATGATCATGTGAACCCCTTAATGACACGTAATGCTCAGTCATTGTCCACATGGTTAATGACACGTGGTGCCCAGTTATTATCCATATTGGTGTCACATCATTAGTTAACGATAATCGACATCGCCACCATACTATTATATCTGGGTTTTTCTCAACCAATTGATCGTAGAATTCGTATAAAAGTAGATGGTCTTCATAGATTTATATAATAGTACACTTTTATACACATTCATGACTTGGCGTATAAGTAACATCATTATTTTTTACAAGAAACCTAAGCTCACAGGACATCAACGGGCTGATCAATGGATGGAATAAAATGGACCTTAGGAGTGACATATAAGTTAAACGTATTATGTGAAAAAGTGATGGTCTAACTCAATATGATTGGTTCGGGCATGAAAAACAGGGTTGGTTGCCATATAAGTAGTGCTCAAATTATAGCAAAGGAGGAAAATCGGTGGTGGTGCTGGATGACGAAGCTCATACAAGAGATAGGAAGCCAAATGGACTCGGCACATGCATGAGCTAGAGCACGGTACTCAAACTCCACACTAGAACGGGAGACAGTGGTTTGCTTAGTTGAGCTTCAAGAAATAAGATTAGGTCCATGAAAAGACAAGTACAAGGAAGTGAAACGGCGAGTATTCGGACAGCCAGCCTAGTTAGCATCGACTAACCATGAAGAGTGAGAGGCCCAGAAGAGCGTCGAAACACAATACCAAATTCCAGAATGCCTTTGATGTATCGAATAATACGTTTGGCAGCAATAAAATGAGTGGTTGTAGGCTTTGACATAAACTAAGCAATGTAATTGACTGCAAAGGCAATGTCAGGACGTGTCAAAGTGAGGTATTGGAGTGAACCAAGTAAATGTCAAAATTCAGATGGGTTAGAAAGTGGCGTCCCCTACGGATCTGCTCCTTCTGCTTGTTCAACAGCATCTTCCTGGGTTCCCTCCTCTCCCTCCTTATATTCTGGTTGATCTTCCTTCCCAAAGAGCTGAACTTCTTCGACACTAATGCCACTCTCACCCAATTCGATTTCACCAACGCCACCAACACTCTCCATTACAACCTCGCGCTCAACATCACCTTCCGAAACCCCAACAGATGGGTTGGCTTTTACTACAACTGCATCGAAGCCATTGCTAACTATAGGTTGAAGAGGTTTACTTTGGTGACATTGACTTCGACTCCATTTTACCAAGGCCACAAGAACACCACCGTCTTAAAACAAGTATTTCTTGAAGGGCAGGGGGAGGTGGTGTTTGGGCAAAATGACATCTCCAATTTTAACTCGGAGACTGCTGCCGGTGTATACAACATCGATATTCAGCTTGTTGTAAAAGTAAGTGTTAAGTTTGGCGAGTTGAAGACAAGCTATTACACGCCGTCACGGAAAATCAACTGCAAGCTGAAGGTTCCTTCGAATGTTAATGAAACCTCTGCTGGTGGTTTCAATATTACTAAGTGTGGGAATGTTAAAATCTTTTCTGATCCTGATACTTCAGGCTAAGTTTTTTTAGAATTGTGCTTAAATTATATGAAGCAATTCAACTTATCATAGTGCTCAGCATCTTGCGTTTCCAAGTAGCGTTATTGTCACACACATTGAATAATTTCTCAACGTTATGTTATTCCCAGGGACCAAAAAGTCGTCACAACTAACTCTCAAATCGCAGTCTCGTAAACCTTTTCCCCCAACTCAACCCTTCATTCACGTCTTTGATTGTGCATTCTCCCACAGCTTCCAACATAACCACCAGAAACTACTTCAATCAAGTATCGAAAACCCTCTTCCTCCACGTGCTTCTGCATAGAAAAAATTTAGCTAATTATATCAGTAAAACAGAAGGTATTTCGATTCTTTTGGCGATTAGGCGACACCCGGATTGAACAACCTCGGAAGTTCCTCCAGACCAGGACTCTTTGGAAGTTCCTCTAGACATTTCCAACAAAGTCAATTGCTAGATATACATACCTTTCTGTCAATGGCTGGCAGCGGTCAATTAACTAGCTAGTAATTAAGATTTTTCATATGTACAAAGCCGCAATCCACCCTTTTGTGTTACATATACAAGACGATACCTCATATGCAACTCCATCTCATACCATTTTTCTTGTTCTTTCTCTCGTGCAATGACTCCAAAGTGCGGCACACGCTGCCTCTACTTCGTCGGGCAGGCCTTCCTCTGCCTGTGCCTAACCACTTTCATATTCTGGTTGATCTTCCTTCCCAAAGAGCCTAAATTCACCGTCTCCAATGCCTCTCTAACCCGATTCAACTTCACCAACACCGACAACACTCTCTACTACAATCTCATGCTCAACGTCACCATCCGAAACCCCAACAAAAGGGTTGGCATATACTACCGCCGCATCCAAGTCTTTGCCAACTACAGAAAAAAGAGGTTCGCTAATGTGACATTGCCTTTGGAGCCGTTTTACCAAGGCCGCAAGAACACGACCACTTTAAACCATGTACTCGTTGAAGGTCAGCAGTGGGTGGCATTTGGGGAACACGACCTTTCTCAGTTTAACTCGGAGACTGCTGCCGGTGTTTACAGTATTGATGTGGAGATTTATCTTCTGGTAAAGGCCAGGTACGGCAAGGTCAAGACATCAGATTACGGTTCTAGCAACATCGACTGCAAGCTGAAGGTTCCTGTGAGTTCTAACAACACATCCGTGAGTGGTTTCAATCCCACAAAATGCAGGAATGTTCATGTCCTCCGCGAATCCTAGACACAAGCCACGGATTTGCGATTTTCGATCCAAAAAATATGACCCTTTTCAACAATCTCATCCCTGATGTATCAAATTGTCGTTGATAAATTCTTGTATGATTAATTGTGATAATTTTTTAACTCAGCAGCTTCCTCTACAATTGCTTCTGAGTACATTTTCAAGAAGCACTTGATTTTTTAGAAATTTAAAAAGAAATGTGCTTCTAACAAAAGTAACTCCAGCAAAACTACTTCCGAGCATTACTTCCTACATAAGCACTCTCAAAAGGCCCATGGCTACATTTATGCAATTTTTCAAACTACGGAAAGGAGCTTCGAACTTGATTGGGGAAGAACACCGCTCTAATCGACTTGACTACGCAGATTCGCAACAAATGGAAACAAGTTAAGGGGCTGGGAACTAGTTCCAATAAGTAACTTTGGCAATTCCCCCTAACCCAAAAAAGTTCCTTGGAAGTTCCACTATTTAATCATTTAAATTAGACAAAGCCAAAAACTACCCTTTATTGTGCTGTATACTTTTCCATCTCTCACTGCACTTGCTTCTTTTTCTCTCAGCCATGTCTGGAGGAGGTTGTGCCTACTCTGCAGCACCTTTCTCTGCCTAACCCATTATCTGCTACATCTTAACTTCCGACGAGCCCAAAGTCACCATCGCCACCGCCTCTCTGACCCAATTCAGCTCCACCGACACCGACACCAGAAACACTACTCTCAACTACAACCTTGCACTCAAGTCATTGCTAACTATAGAAAAGAACAGGTTTGCTATCGTGAATTTGACTTTGGCACCATTTTACCAAGGCCACCAAGAACACGAGCATTTTGTATGCAGTTCTTGAAGGGCAGCGGTTGGTGGTGTTTGATACTGTGCAGCTTGCTCTTCGGGAAAGAACTGGGTAAATGAATTCCAAGAGCTGGGTAAATGAATTCCAAGACAACCGGGTGCCCATCTAGCACAATAGACTGCAAGCTGCAGGTCCCTTTAAGTCCTAATGAAACATCCGCTTGTGGTTTCAAGGCCACAATGTGCGGGAATGTTCATATCTTGACAGATCCTGTAGACTACACAGAACCCTGAGATGTACGGTACAGTGCAAAAAATCATAATAACAGGACGCGTTTTCAAGGACAGTACCTAACAAATTGAAAACATAGCACATAAGCTAAAACGAAATAATCTTCAGTATATGAAATTTTCCCTTTGAATATTATGAAACAAACACAAGCCTGAAATAAACAGACAAAATTGATTTTCAAAACAATCTGTAAATTTACATTTGCTCAGCACGCATAATCTTGTACGGAAAATAAGGGGCTTCCTTTTTCATATTTTTATGAGGATGATAGGAATAATGAAGTTCTGCCATGTACCTTATTGTACAATCACGCTCAACAAATATTTCAACAGGCACCAATTCAGTCAGCAGGACTTCTAGTCTTCTATTCATAATCGAATTGTACCTCTACATGCAGATATTTTCTCATCAGCCGGACAATGGAAGAGGTGAAGCTTGCTAAAACTCGGCACTCTTCATGGGATTTGGCTTCTGAAACTACCCCATAAATGACTAACTTCTTCAAATTAGGGCATCTTTCTAGAAATCCAGCTACCCAGTCTGAGAAGAGCTCACTGATTATAGTCCATCCAAGTTCTAGCACAACCACGTTCTCCAAATGCGATGACCCCTGCAAGCCACAAACATCTCTTAAGTCATAACTTAATGATAAGTGGCTTAACTGAGGGAAGCAAGAAGAAACAGTCTCCAAATCCACAACCCCATCCTCATCATCAAATACAACACCCCAGAGCCGAAGCCTCTTTAAATTTGACGATTTTGAGATCATGTTATAGAACTTTGGCCACATGATAGTGAAGCTGCTAACATCCACAATCTGAAGATTCTCTGTGTTATCACCAATATCAAGATGGAGGACACTAACATCATCGATCTTCAAAACTCTCAGTGACCCCTTACCAATAAGCTCAAAAAGCTCGAGGGTACAATCTTTCAGGTGCAGATTCTCAATGCTATCAGCCTCTAGTATGAACTTATCCAAACTGACAGCTTCCACATAGATATCTTTTAGAGAAGGACTATTAAGTTCCATGGTTGTCTGTGCATCCGACATGGCAATATCAGGATTAATAAGAGCCAAATTCTGAAGTTTTGGACATGCGGTAAGCAAAAGGCTCAAATCCCATGCTGAGATACTGACATAACTTAGTGAAAGTGACTTCAAGCATGGAAATTTCTCATAACTGGGTTCAACACCTGTTACAGAATTATAAGCCAATGCCAAGACTTCAAGCTTCTGCCGACTGCATTTCTCAATGATATTCACAATCGGAGTAGTCCTCACATTATAATGCAGTTGCCGCAAAGTGTCCCGGGTATACATGAGCCAAGCAATCACTGGGGCAGCTGAAAATTCATCAACATCATCCATTAAAATGGATAAACACTGCAATGATGTAGTTTGGAAAATTGTTTGAGTTATAAGAATTTCCAATCTACTTGTTGTCAGATCATGATAGACGGACCAATCATTGGAATTAAAAGAAAGAGTGTGGAGGTGGTTGCGCCAAGCCTCTCTCCATTTCTTACAAGTCGCAGATGCAATCACCACATCTCGGGCAGCTTTAAGCCGGGATAGTATGTTACCTATGACTTCAACTGGAAGGTGCTCCATATACACAAAAAACTAACAAAATCCGAGGGAAGCTCTTGTTCTCAAAATTCAATGTACCCCATGAAGATTAAAAATCAACACCACACAATTAGCCATCCAGAAATGTCAAACCTTCCATCTGGGTTTTTCACAAAAGGTAAGAAAAACCAAGAACCATCAATGCCAAACACCAATCTCCCATCTTTTCGAGATAATTCACGACGTCATCTATACATGCAAAAATTCAGATCAATATTTTGGACTTCCAATAATCAATCAGTAATTGTCACTACAATTAAGCATGGAAAGCAAAGATTAGCTACTAGAAATTGAAAAAATCCAGTATTTTGGGCATTACAAAATACGTCAACAATTCAAAAGTTGGCAGATTTTGAACTGGATCAATATCTATTCAATAACAAGAATCCAAACAAACTCAATAACATAAACCCAATTCAATCATTCAAACAAATTTCAACAGCTTCGCATCAACATACTAAATCGAGCAAAAACACATAGAACCCATAAACCTATAAAAATAAAATTAAACAAAAATTAACGTAATACAAAAGATAATCAAATGGATGAAACATTGAGAAAACCAGAGCAGGCTTACCCGTGGAAGCAAATCAAAACCCGAAAGTGCCAAGTGTCATTGGGATTATCATCCCAATCATCACTTGAATGCGGAATTCAATGGTTCCGGACAAACGAATGGAGAGACGAACCAACCAAAACCTGCTTGCTTGGTCTGAAAGACGAGACCTTTGGGGAAGAATAAGAGTCTGACTCTGCAATGAGAACAGGGGAAAGACCGAAGGAAGGTCTTCTCTTCTCTATCACGTGTGGGAAAGTGGAGAGTAATTGCGCACGTGAGAAAATGGAAATTTGATTTCCAATAGGAAAATTAATGAAAATGATTTGAAAACTTTAAGTTTTAACGATAAGGACAAAATAAATGTTAAAATAAATAATATCATGATTGACTTTTTAGTGTAAAAATATGGTTTTTCGTTAAAATGAAGAGTACCGAGAGTTTTTTGTTAAAGTTCTCATTTCCAATTACCTGGAATTTTTTTGTTTCCCAATCCAATCCTCTTACAAGATGAGGTGAATATTATATGGAGAAAATTTTCAGTGTATCCAGAAAATAGAGTCGTTCATCACACGTCTTATGTAATTGGAGGTTTTTTTTTTTCATGCGTCTATCTAATTGTATAATAACATATGATTTACCGTCTCATGCTATGAGCACACTCAAAAATATCTCTCCTATCTGAGTCCCCATTACATGAATACTAATTCCTACATCAATTGGAAAAAAAAGTTGGATTCCGTAAGGAGATCAACAATATGCGTGGACGAAGGTAGACTACTGTAAGTGAGATTGTTTGAGAATCAGAAAAATGAAGTGGCTCAAAAAATCAATTGTAGCTCAAATGTTTAAGAAAATTCACTTTTGTACTCGAGGTTTTGTGTTCAATTTTCTGGTACACAATATTGCTCAAATCAATGAAAAACAAAATCCCTCAAGAGTAAAAACTATAATCCCATCCAAAAACTGGAGCAAGATCCATAAGTCACAGCTTTTACAAGTGAAAAATGATTATCATGAAATTCGAACATACGACCTCTCACTTATAAATGAAAAATGATAATCTCGTCAACACAATTTCCACAAGTCAGCAGCTTTTACATGTTGACATTACAAAAGTTCATACAATTTCAAGAAGCACAAAATTTTATAGATATACAATGTGTTCTCCTCCCAAGCAAAATTGGAATCATCTTTACAGAAGAATGCCAACCTAAGACCCGAGTTAGCAGAGACTACAATGGTCACGCCGGCGCCAACACAAATAATTAGTCAGTGAAAGTCTTTGTACGTCACTAGCTGGCCATATGATTCTTTAAACCTTCTTGGTAGCCCCGCTACTGCCTGTTGTCATGAACGATTCCCCGCAACCACACTGTCCTTTAGAGTTGGGATTGATAAATACGAACTCAGACCTGCCAAAGTAAATAAATTACGCGTGAGGAAAAGCAGGAAGGCAACGGTGATCGAAGGCATAAGCAAGAAAGTTGTGGAGCCAAGGGCATATCCTGATTGTATCAATGCACCACCAACAACCCACGGAAGTTGAATTTAAAAAGTTTTTATCTGATCAACGAGGAACCTAAATACCATGCCATTCAGCTGCTTTTTTGAAACAAAGGTGTCAAGATTCCCAATGTTAAGTACTTGTTCATGGAGTAATAAAGCAAGCAAATATACCCCAAAAAAAAAAAAAAAAAAAAAACGCAAGCAAAAGAAAATTAGCAGACCATCTTTCTTCATGGTTTGGTTTCTGCTCATGTAAAAATGGATACACATGTACCATAATCTCTCCTAACACGCACATGGAAGCCACCCTTTTAGCATGCACATTCAGTTTTCCATTGAATGCGCACAACACGTGCATGCAACAGTAAACAGAGGTTGAAGTACTAATGGCAGCAGTGGAAGTGATGAACCCTAAAATCATGGTCCTCTGTCCGTCGTAATGAAATGGTCATGCGATAGTTGTGAGGACAGGAATGGAAGGCTGACCATCAGCGAAGGTGACATTATGGGCAATTTAATATCTAGTAGGAGGGTGGAGACCTAAAGCCGATGTTGATAATATCAGTGCTAAGCAGAACCAGTCTAGGTATTGTACAAGGTAGCAGAGGCTTCGTTGGGACAATGTTAGAGTTGATAAAATGGCAATATACCCACCATAACTATGAAAATGCCCACCCCCCCCCCCCCAAAAAAAAAAAGTCAGTTGCAGCACATCAGCTTACTGATTGTCATACGGTTGCAAGAGCTCATTTGAGATTACAGGCTGGTTTGGTATTGCTGTGCTTTGAAAAAAAAATTGCTTCTGCTGTGATGTAAGAATAAGCTCATTTTTGCTGCTTCATGTTTTCAGCTTTTTTTCACCCAAAACTATGAAAATAAGCTGCTTTTAAGTGTTTACCAAAAACCTTTTTGAGCCCAGCATTTTTTATACCCACTTTTTATAAAAGTAACTCAATACCTAACCAGTACTAACTTCTCATAAGTAAAAGCACTGAAAGTGCTAGTGCTTCTACAATACAACCAAAAAAACGCTTATAAGTTTTTCTGCCAACCTAATCAAAAGCATTTTTTGTTGCCAGAAAGCAGTTTTAGCTCTTCCCAGAAGCAATCCAAAACAGGCCCCAAGACTCTTGGTTCATTTCAAGGTGAAAACTCATATATTCTCCGGAATTCAACCCGAAATTCGAAGACCTATTATCCTTACGATACACAAGTTTAGCATCCTAACATCAAATTGACACTGGAAACAAATACAAAAAGGCCTATTCCACTTCTAACACAGCAAAAGTTCATTTTCTCTACCAAACAAAAACAAAAAATTTACACATCCCCAATTCAAATCAAAACCAAACAATTTCTCAGAAGCCAAAACATGCTAATAAATTTCGCACAAATCCACCAAAAAAAGAGAAAAATTGGGGGGAAAAAAGAGGAAGAGAAGATTTACCTGAGTTTATCATCTATAAAATCCATCTTCGTTCCTATGACGTGCATCAGAGCCTTCGGATCGATCAAAATCTTCACACCTTTATCCTCCACCAATTCGTCAAACTTCCCCTTATCATCTACAAATGAGCAAATCGGAGCAAAATTAATTTACGAAATTCACAATTCAACTCAACAAAATTCAAGAAAAAGAAGAAACTTGACGATCAGGAACGAAACGGCGCCGCACCTGCGTAATTGAGAGTGTAGGACAAGCCGTTGCAGCCGCGAGCCTTGATGCCGAGTTTAAGATACGGCCGGCGGCGCTGCTCTAGGAGCTGCCTTATCCGATTCGACGCCGCGTCCGTCAAGCTCACGGCCTGTCGCCTCGCCGCCGGTCCGATCCTCTCGGCTGCCGCCGCCAGAATTTGCGAAGCCATTGGTGGGATTTTTTATGTCTTCTCTTCTTCCCAGATTTGTCTCTCTGGGATCTAAAGGGCAAACCCGTTGGAAACTCGCGCCGGGTAGTTCCGTCATTTCGTTCAGCTCTACGTTGCGTTTTGAACAAGTTTCTGGAAGTTTCCGCGGACGACAGGAACATCATTGCGTGTCGCAATAGATTCTCGCTTGTGACATAATTACCTCCCTGTCCCTGTGATGTTTATATGTGGGTTTTCCTCCAAAATTTTAATTGTGTATTTTAAATTTTTATTTTAAAAAAGCGAAGAGGTGAAATTAGATTTTTTGTATGTTAATGATATTTTTTTTTTAAAGCGAGATTATTTTGTTTTTTTTGTTGAGAGTAAGCGAGAATCAAGATTATTATTGACGTGCTTAGTGACCATTAACAATGATAGTGGTATTTAATTGTAGTTATGTTTGGCCTTTTGCAGCGGTTTGTGCGGTCTGTATATGTATTAGTATGTTCAGGCACTTTGATTTTGATTCTTATAAATATGAATTTCATTCTATTCATAAGAATTAAATTCAAAATTTTCGATCTACTGTAAAAAGCTTTATGTGATATTATGTGGAGACCTTTGTGTCGAACCTAACAATTATAGTGGTTAACGAGTAACCAGTGTTACTCAAGAAGTTGAACGATCATGACTTGAAATTAAATAGTGAGTTGTCAGTGTCAATCAAACTATGTCAAATAACATGATTTTACGTTGTCAATTATTTCTCATGTGACATTTCACGGACAAGCACATCAACATGTATGCCATTGAAAAATCAATAATCAAATACAAATGATATGTTCATAATTGAAACGTATCAACGTTGGATGGTCAGACATATCAGGTGATCAAACGTTCTCCCCTCATTTCCGATGCTCACTTACACTCTACAATTGGGCCCAACTAATGAACAGAATAACTTGAAGCAATAAGAAACACAGCCCAACAGTTAAACCCTTGTCACTGAAAGAAAAGGGTTTTGCGAGAGTTTGTGTTTGTTTTCGAAAGAGCCCACACCCACATGCTTTTCACCTGAAAATCCAAACCACCAAATCGCATTTACTTCCCCTTTCAACCAGATTTCTCATTATTCTTAGTAGGTTTGTTGCTTCCTTTTCCACTTCCTACGCTTCTCTATCTTCGTCGATCAACTCGCAATCATCAGTCCAAATCTGGCTCTTTGGGCTCTACGCCACCAAATGCTCCCAGGAGTTCTCTTGTTTCTGCTTCCTAGGTCTCTTCGGATTTATCAGGTCTGTAACTTTCTCTGAAACCCCTGCTGCCCATTTCTCTGTTTCCTTCTTGTTTTCTGGAAATTGGGTCTCCGTGTGTTCTGCATTTCTCTGGTTTGTTCGTTTCTTACTGTTTTCTGCTTGCTTGATGCTGTTTAACTTCATGGTTGCATTGAATTTTACTTAATTGTTGTCTTTTGGGGTTTTACATTTCTCTTGTTTGCTTCTTTCTCATTGTTTTCTGCTTGCTTGATTGCTGTTAACTTCATAGTTCTATTGAATTTTGCCTAATTGTTGTTGGGTTTCTCTTTTCCGGTTGTAATTTTTCTCTGGGGACCGTAATGTGCCATATGAAGTTTATGGGGTCTTACTCTTACATTTCTCTGGTTTGTTTTTCTAATTGGTTTCTGCTTGCTTGCTTGCTTGCTGTTTGTTTTTCTAATTTTTCTCATAGTTACTTTGAGTAGCAGAGTTGCCGTGGGTTTTACTTTAGAGGTCGCACTTGGTGCAATGGCAAGTGCCTTCGCCCATGAGCGGTAGGTCTCTGGTTCGAGACTTGGGAGCAGCCTCTCCATAAAATGGGGGTAAGGCTAGC